CACACATACACATCTTCTTTATCTATTCATCTATCAATGGACACTTGGGTTCTTTGATATCTTGGCTATAATAAATAATGCTGCAATGAACACAGGCACGCACACACCTTTTCACATTAGTGTTTTTGTTTTCTTTGGGTAAATATGCAGTAGTGGAATTAGTGGATCATATGGTAGTTCTATTTTTAAATTTTTGAGGAACCTCCATACTGTTTTCCACAGTGGCTGTACCAATTTATATTCCCACCAATAGTGCATGAGGGTTCCCTTTTCTCTATATCCTCACCAATACTTGTTATTTCTTGTCTTCTTGATTCTAGCCATTCTGACAGGTGTAAGGTGATAGCTCATTGTGGTTTTGATTTGCATTTCCCTGATGATTAGTGATGTTGAGCATCTTTTCGTGTGTCTGTTGGCCTTGTAGTTCTAAGAAATCAAACCTTTCATGTAGAAGATATTTTTGATCAGGTATAAGCATGACTTAAAAGAATTCACTTTTTACTAGTAAAGTGAATAAACAGAAGTCTAAATCAGGGATTTGCTAATTGTCTTGCTGAGCACCTACAGATGTTAGATAGGAATTTATTTTTAGCCATAATATGTTTGAAACATATATATATATGTATGTATGTATATATATATGTATATATACACATATATATATATACACTGAAGTAATAATCCATTTTTCTGGTTGTCATATTTTAGACAATCTGAATATTCTGAAACACATCTGTGAACTTAAAAATGATTCACAAGAAGGATTCAAACCATTCTGCCTGACATTTACTTTTTTCGTTTCCTGACCTGGGAAGCTCCTAGTCATCCTTTAAGACCTAGCTTAAATGCCACTTATCCTGAGGGGCCTCTCCTAATCACCCCCAGAACAAACCCTGGGTCCCTGGGTTCTATAGACGCACCCTACACTGAACCACACTATTCATTTCCATGTCCATATCTTTTCCAAGGCTGTGAATACCTTAGGGGCAGGCTCAAGGGTGAGGTTCTCACTTCCATCACTGCAATTCCTAGCACTGATGTCTGGTTGACTCCAGCCAGCCTGGGATTTGGTGACCCAGAAATCATTGTTGTATTCCCACCTGCCACACCAATGTGGCCAATCCTTTGTTGCCAGCCAAGCTGGAACCCTAGGCACTGGGGAGAGTGTTAAATGGCTATGCAGCTTCCTGAGTGCCAGCACATTGTATTGGCTCAGGACGTGGGACTGTGCTTCTGCCTTTCTACTTTCACTTACACACCTAGTTTGCAGTTGGCCTGGGTACCTTGCCAGAAACCCAGTTTCTTTCTAGGCTTGGAGGCTGTCCTCACCATGGTCTGCTCAACTTGGGCTATCAAAGAGCAGGAACTTTTGATAACTATCTGCTGAATGACTGCACACAAGCCCACCCATTTTACTTCATTAAAGAGAGGCACAAGCCTCTATCTTTCTTTTCAGATGAGCTTTGACCTTACACATACTAGTTGGGTTTCTGATTTCATTTGGTACCTGCTAGTTTTACTAGGGTCACTATCAGGAGAGCAAAGACTGAAGACAGATGGTTAGATCACTGGGGCAGCAGGTAGTCACTGTCAAGAACGAAGAGTGACCAAAGAAACCAGAGGTGATTACAAGAGAGAACATGGGAAAGCACCAAGAGGAGCCACGTAAGTCTATTTGGTCTCAGAACAAATGACTTTATACACCTCAAGAGGCCCAAGCATATCACTGAGTGCCAAGGTCAAACACAGGCAAAGGGTTGGTAAAATTCAGTGAAAAAATAAGGTAAGCCCCACACAGTTTTATAGCCCTAGAGGGCATCAATATATCAAAGTTTAGTTCACTATCATGTTAGTTCACTATCAAGTTTAGTTCACATCAAAGTTTAGTTCACTGTCACTAACAAGGACCTGAGTCATCAAGAAAAGGTTAAATGATATTCATTACACACTGTCAACAGGCTGCTAAAACAGGCTGTTTTAGAAACACTTCTTTCCTAAAATGAAAATTTCTCATTGATGTCAGAGCTTAAAGTGGTAAATCTCAGTTATCTAGACAATAGGGGCTGTCTTATTCCCCACAGATATTGGATGGCTACGGCATCACGGCATACATAGACACTTATCACTTAACAACTAATCAAGTATTCAAATCACAGGTATTTGGGGCCTAGAGAGGGCCTGATTATATAACAGTTTTCAAATAAGAAGTTCTTTTGAGAGAAGCAAGTCTGAGGCATTGACAGTATCATTAAGATATCACTCATATCCTGAGTTAGCCTGATCTAAGCCAGAAAAACTCTGCCTACCAAAATTAAACTGGATTGCCCTGATTTCTGGTTGGAGCCTCTCTTATTACCTTGACTATCCTTCCAGTTCCTGATCTGCAGTCCAAATTTCATGTTCATGGTTCTTACTCGTGTTTAACTTTTGGTGTCTTCTGTCTGGACATCTGGTAGCTAGCTGGCTTTGTTCCATGATTTTACTTCCTGACTCCCGCCCTGGCTCTGACATTCACCTTTAGCCACTCCAGGGCTGGCTCCTGCCCACCTGGCCTTGTTTTATTACTTCTTCACTGTTTACCAGGCCATGCAAGAGGTCAAGCTGGGTATCCACATAATAATGAAGTATGTTACCCTGGGCTTTACTTAGCTATTTTATATATGACTCTGAATACATCCATCTTGTTTGAACTAGGCTCCTTTAGGGGTGGTACTTTTTCATCTGACTTATCTCGAACAGTACACACTACCACTGGATACACATTTCAAAATGGGGCATATCCCACACTCAAGGAGTAACATGGCTCAAATCCCAGCTGGTTATATTCACACAGGAAAAGAAGCCCTAAAAGTCAGGTACAAATGAAGATAGATGACTCACAGCCCTCTGGGATCTAAAAGGGCAGATTAGCCCCGAAACACATTACAGAAGAGGTTCTCAAACCTGAATGTGCAGAGAGCCACCTAGGAAGCTGGTAAAATGTAGATTCCTGGGCTCCACACCTAGAAAGTCTAATTCAGTGATCTGGATCCAAGAATCTGATGCAGTTAGCCCCAAGACCACTCTTTGAAAACACTGTACCACAGCAATGAGAAGTCTGACAAACATGAGACAGGCACAGTAATTTACATCCCCCTCCCCATCCTTTCTTTCTTAGAAGCCCTTATGCCCTTTGCATAAAGGCAAGTCATCTGGACAATTGTTTCCTAATACTCATCACTGAACAGCAGCTCAGTTCCAAGATCAATTTATGTTTGTTTTAGTAAATGCAATGTGAATTTCCCAAGTTTCCATAAGGAAGAATATTTTAATATGTCTTTCGGATAAGTGGGAAGAGGTGTCTAAGTGATATTTTTCTCTCAACTGAGGAAGAAATGCTATGAAGAAAAACATATTGTTGAAGTTACATGCTCTTGTCCTCCCCACATACCTACCCGCCTTAGAACATCTCCTTAGGATAATTTCAAAAGTATCAGGATGTTGCCCAAATCAAGCAAGTAAAAGATCTTCAATTTAATAGCAATCACTGCTATTTTAAATAAGGAATGGAAATATCTATTTGATCCAGAAAAGCTCCCCGGCAATACATATACTGCTGGTGAGGAGTATCTGTACCTGAATGTTCTGATACCCAGAAGCCTGGCAGACCAGCAACGGTAGAGTCCAGAAAACTCGGCAGGCTGTGCATTTGACCGGGTAGGCCAAGTTTCCCTGGGCCTGGCCCTAAGAAACCCTGGAGGGGGACCTCAGGAAAATCAGTTTAATTGGGAGGGTTCTGATGGGGATAGGATGCTTTTGGATTCTAAGATGACAGAAGATATTGATGAGCTATTAGATCCAGGGGGCCTGTCTGATATTTGAGATAATGCGACCTCCATTTGTTTCAGGACGATGCCTTCATTTTTGTACTAACATGGTTTATGGCTTGCAGGGGATATATGGACTGGCGGATGCAACCATTAAGGATGTTAGAGCCCCATTCTTACTATTATTGTGATATGTGTGTGCATTTGTTTTTTTCCCAGGAGGATCTTTATTTTTTCTCCCAAATCTCATAACTGGTTATACAGATGTTTAATTGAGAGGAATAATTATGAATTACGATTTGTTTTTTTCTTTCAAACTTTCCTATCTGAATCATTTATCGCCTTCATTACAAGTGTTTTAAATATTGTAAAATTAAAGTTTAAAAAATAAACATTGCTGGTAGGCAAGCCCAAGCCCAGAAAAAGTCAGTTTTTAAAAAACATTAATGGTTCCTCATTGAGAGCTTCATGCACTATATAAGCCTTATGTTCTGCTAATTTAGAGAAAAACAGACTTTAAATTCAGAATAAGGAGTAGAAAAAGTAGATTGAGAAAGAAAAGCAGGTAGATTAATTCCATGAAGGCAAAGGACAATGGAACTCAATGGATAAGGATGATCAGAGGTAGGATGACTTAAAATGTGAGGATTCTTGTTAAAAGCACAAGAATGTTAGGAATGTATTCTAGGGGAAAATGGGTAATTAGGAAATTAAAGCTGAACTGTTGACCTAGAGCTCTGGAACATTGTTATCACCCTGCTATGCTTTGGGTAAATAAAGCAAGGAAGACAAATTTTATCCAGCTTATGTCTGCTGTTCAACTCTGACCCTTGTCTACTGGAATGACTTTAAATATCTGCTATGGAAAACAAAAAAATGATACCACTTTAATTTCCAGCTCCATCCCCATCTGGCTAGGGAGATGATGAATTAATATTATCCTGTTTTGTCTTTAGGGCTTCTGATACCCCTGAGGACCAGCCTGCGGGACAGTCTGTTTGGGCAGGGATTCTGGGCCAGAATCAAAAGACTGGGATTCAGGACAAGGCCAGTCCACGTAACACAGCTCAGAGCCATACAACACAACTTGCTCCGAGGATGTTGGGCATTGTGCTTCATTAGGAAACAAAATATAAGCTTTCCACACCATTAGGAATGACTTTAGGAGTGAAAGCACATAAGACGATGCCTCACCTCATCAACAATGCACTGCAGA